CGGATTTCGGATCCTTGGAGCTCACGCTATAAGTTAGACTATAAAAGTCTAAGCTTTGAGTGCATAGCAGAGTACCTCTTTGCAAGAAAGAATAAGAGAGAGAGAGTAAGAAAACTCAACTATTAGAGTGAGAATGAGTTGGACTGATGGATGAAAGTTTCTATTTATAGCTTTTTTTAGGGGTATTTTGGGAAGCCAAAATATTTATTGAGCCCATCGGATTAAATCTGAGTTAGGATATATAAATATATCTTTATTTTATAATATCATGATATTTGAATTCAAATCCAGAATCAATCACAATTAATTCTAAATATATATACTTAATATATATTTAAGTTATACAATATAAATTAATTAAATTTATATCGTAATTGATTGGATTTGATTCAGGATGTTTGACCGAGTTAAACATATCATAATCTTGCTTAGATATTTAACCAGTATGTTCTCTTAATATCCAGTTGAATAGTTCAACCCATCAAGAACGGATCCAAACTCAAAATCCAATAATAATGATATAAAATACAACACCTCCCTAGCTCTTGCCCTAAAATTGCGGTCATGACGAGAAAATTTCTGTTCCTAAAAGTGACATATGCTTCATTTTCACTAGAGGCACGATAAAAAGGTTATGGTTGACTTCTTGATGGCGTCATGTATTTTTATCCAGCCGCCTTATGGAAGGGACAATATGACCTTCAAGATGCACACAGCGGACGTATCGGGGCGTGTTTATCTTGTCATCTCTGCCACGCTGGCAGCACTTAAAGCGGCCGAACTAAGCAAAACCCCTTTTTTTGCGATATTTTAGGATGTAATTTAATACTTGTCATGAATCAATTTGTTCATATCTCCATCAGGTTTTGCTGTGGATTCGTTTTAAGAACTTCGAAGCGAGTTCATGGTTTATCCACTGATGGAGCTAAGCCTATGGATTTTGCAGCATGCGTATGTAGCTATATGTGTGTGTGGTGGAAACTATAGTTGTTACTTTTTCCCCTCAGGAACATATTAGTAAAGGTAGGTTAGTTTACTTGTTCTATTAAATAGTTAATGAATCATTGAGGGGGTTCAAGCGACGGAGTTAGAACTCACAAATTCAACTAAGGAAAGAAGGATAGATTGGAGTTGAGATCAAAACAGAATTGAGAACAGAGGCTAGAGGTGAAAAGGAATGAACAAATAATTACAAAGAAGGGAGGAAACTACAACGGATCAGTGAGAAGTGAAGGTCAAAAGCTGCTCCAGATAGTCGGCTCCTAAATCCTCCAACACCAGCACAGCCTGATGATGAGTTGCAATCGATTTGGGTTTTGGCAGCAGGAGGGGTCTTGGACTTGGACCTTCGCCTCGAGGCGTGTTTCTTCTTGAGGGCTAACACCGGAGAGCAACCATCCTCCCATGTCTTGTTCGGCATCTTCCTCAGCGACTCCCTCACCACTTGCTCTGGGAAATTCAGCACCGCTTGTGATCCCCGTGTCGACAATGCCGCCTGATCATACGCCAACGCCGCCGCCTCCGCCGTATCAAATGTTCCGATCCACACTCGTACCCCTTTTCTGGTGGAGTCCCTTATCTCCGCCGCGTATTTCCCCCACGGCCGCCTTCTCACTCCTCTGTACACCCTCTCCTCATCCCCCGCCGACGGATGCCCTGCAAAATTCGATTTTTCTTCTTCCGCTTCAGCTTTGGGGCAGATGAAACCGGAGGAGACTTCGTTCACCGCCTCCAGGGATGAAGAATTGGAGTCGGAGGATGATGAATCCTTGGCCATAACATCGCAAGACACGGCATGATCTGGTGAGTAGTAGTAGTTGCTGCAGTCGTTGAAGAGCAACAGGTCATCCCAGCAGGACAATGATTCACCAGAAACAAAGGAATCTACAGGGGAGCAAGCAGGTTGGGGGTATTGGAAGAAGAAGGGATCTGAATAATCCATGCGAATTTTGATCACTATGCTGAGCCAGTTAATACCAGTACTTTCCTTATCTGGTCTTCGCTATTTATGTTGTGGTGGGTTTTAAAGCAGGATTCGGGTTGTGTATATATACCCAGTGAAAAGAAGGGAAAGAATACCACCAAAACAGCTGATTGACATTAAATATTCGAAATTGTAATATAAAAGGGGGGGGGGGGGGGGGTACGAGAAGTTGGGATTATTGGCGAGGGAGGATGTCTCGGATGGGATTGGATTGGGAAAGGAGGGGCCCAATAGAGGGTCTAGGGAGAGCAATTTTTTTTTTTTTTTTAAAACAGGGGAATGAGTGCTGATGTTCACCATCTTCTTTAATAATTTCTGCACGTGACCCAAAACGTGGGCAGCTTGGCAGCAACATCATACATTCGACCAAGGAACCTTCTTAAGTTAGTAATTCCATTATTATTGCTCAAATCTTCAACGCATCCTCTTTAGTTATGTGTAGTTCTTACATGTATATAGTGGTCTCCACACTCTCTCTTTACAATGTTATTTGTGTGTAATCTGATTAATTAGTGTCATCCATTTTCATATGTACGAGGCCTTTGCAAAAGAAGAGGTGGAAATCATAAAGAGCATAAGCTACACGAGATAAGAATGAAGAAGATGCAGGAGACATACAAATGAGATATTGATGGGGAAAGCACAAAATAAAGTGTTCCATCCGCCACAATTTAATCCAATGAAAACAGAGGAGCTGTATCTGGTCGTGCGTGTTGTTCAAATCTAATATGGATGTCCCCTTCAAACCAATGAATCATTATTAAACCAGTTTCCCATCCGAATTTTTGGCGGGCTTGAATCTTATACTTCTCTTTTCCCATTATCAAGCCTGGAATAATATAATGTTGTTTTGAGTTAAAAGAAAATAGTCAATCAATATATATATATATGTATTTGTATTTTAATAATTATATTTTATTGAATTGCGTGTGATCTATGTATAAAATGTTCTATTTACTTGTGATTGATGTCTTTCCTATATTTACATTTTATTTTTCAAAGTTATATGTGAATATTTTTGTATATTTTAATTAATTTATATTATTTTTAATCATAAGTAACAGACTATTCACCCTCAAATTATCATCCCAAACACTCTAATGACCCAAGCAATTGTTTCCAGCACCTTAATTTGCGTTTCCACACACACAATGATTTCCTCAGTATTCAGCCGCCATGCCATCTCCCCTTCCAAAAGAAAAAAAATTCATTTTCTGAATTTGCAATCTCTTCAATATGCATCATGTATTTATATATATATATATTAATTCGGTTGTCTCTTAGCTTTTCTCTGAATGTGGATACCGTTACTTGTGGGTTATACACACACACACACACACACACCAATCCGAGAGACGAAGTAGGACCGTGCAAGTTGAAATAGGGTAGACAAAGAAGAAGGAATACAATTGAATAAGGGCCACTTGGTGAGTGAGAACGAAAAGTGAGGGATAGTTTAAGAGGGGGTTTAGGCGCAGACGCCTCGTGCTGAAATTAAGAACAAGGGCACATACATTGGACTGATGATCATGATGATAGGTTGTTTTGATGGTACGCCTGCTTCCCGACAAGACAATTGGTTGGACTATTCAATGGTCAAAATTCAAGGTCAAGCGTGCCGTTCGTCAAATCTTCTCCTTTCCTTAGATTCTATGCCCTATATATATATAAAAAAATTGTAAAGTTGGTCTTATTCATTTAAAAATAATTGGAAGAAGACATAATTACAATCAAGTCACGTATAAGAAAAATAACTACTAAAAGGTTTAATAACAACCTAAACAACTTGTAATAACAAGTTCTAGAGTGAAGAATAACAACATTTAGGACTTGTTTTGTAATTTTTTTTTTACATGGTACCTCACTATAATTCTCTCTTAGAAGAGTTATTGTGAGATTCTGAAAAAAGAAAATGAAGATTAATAACAAGTGAGCATTCAACCGAAACTTGCTGTTATTTCGTGTAGTATTACAAGCTGTTATGAGAATTTTGTTTTAATTTTTTTTTTAGACTTTATTGTAATTCTCCTAAAATTACTTACCGATAATTAATTTTTATGAAAAGAGGTGGTATTTTATTTAAATATTTATTTAATTATTTGCATAAAAAACCACTTGATTTATAAAAAATATCTTTCATATTTATAATTAATAGGAAGAGATTATAATAAAAATTATAAATTTGAGAAGTAAAAGTAAAGTGAAATTTTATATTCAGGATAAACATGAATCTCTCTATTAATTTTTACTATGGTTAAAACAGGAAGGAGTATACTCTATATTTTTATAAAGTGGAGTATTGCAAGTGGGTCAAACAACTTCCATTGGTAAACTCCGATTAGGCATTAGGCAAGAAGAATCAGAGGAGGATCGACATTTTCGGAAGTTTGAAAACGATGAACTTAAGTAAAAGTTTAGCAATTTTGCTCAAAAAAATGTTAAAATTTAGCAACGTGCCATAAAAAGAAAATAAAAACGGAGAGTAAGTTTGGCAAGCAGTAAAAAGAAGCGAGGATTAAAACTAAAGGATTTTTTTATTTAAAATCTGCTTCTTAAATGACAAATTTTATTTATGTATCATTCTCAAGTCTCAACGTTCGAGATCCATTTTTGTAAACGTCAAAAATTACCCACAATCACTATACATATATAATATTTTTATAACCTGAGTGCACGAATTGTTGTAAAACTTTTTTAAAATTAATCAAAAACAACAGAAAGATTAAAAGTAGTAGAAAGAGATGAAAAAAAGGACAAAGAGACAATAATCAAAATGAGAATGATCTCGCTTATATTCTGTTTTATACTTCAATACAAATAAGATGTCATACATACATACATACATATATATATGCGAATGATCTGGTATTATGTTTTACATTTTAAATCATTAATTCATAACTTCACAGTTAAAAATATCAGCCATGCACATTTAACTTTAAAAAAACATAAAAGGGCAAAGGCATGTAACTGACATTAATGAATAGCAGGAATCTACAATTAGACGTACCGTGCTGTAAATAGCTTAGAGTGTGCAAAATGGACATTTAATTTGTCAAATTTGACAACCTTTACTTCAACTTCACCGTGACTGCAGGCGACCAATGATAAAACGAAGATAAAGCAATCGACCAGGATTGGCACAAGAGTTGGCACCACATCCTAATTGAGAAAACTGTCATCAAAAGCCAACAAACCCAAACCCAAACCCAAACGGAAATCCGAGGTGGTCGCACTAATAGACGACTTGGGAATTCACTATATCAAAAGCCAACAGACCCAAACCCAAACTTCTCAGCATATCTCATCAGACTACAAGCCCTAGCTCCTTGAAATATAGTTTGAAATGTTTCACACTTGCACCTTCTGCAAGCTGGGTTAGCTTTATTAGCTTCTTTAATTTGAACCCATTCTTCAAACACAATCGAACTTTCTTCATCAATGTATTTACCTTCGGTATGGTCCACATTGCCCCATGCATATGACATTAAATCTTCTTCACCGGCTAGTTCCCCCGGAAATAAATCTTTAAGGCTGCAGAAGAGAATGAATCAATACGGCAAGTTCATGCAATTTTGAGTGAGTATATGCATCTATGTTTGAAACCAACACACACACACACACACACACACACACACACATTTAACTCAAATAAATGACCACATCATGTTCTGAAGTTCTTATATTATAACTCACTCTTTCCGGATGTGGTCTCTGATTTGCATTAGAGTTGAGGTTTGGTCACCCATGCACAAAGTTGCGATGTATACACATGGCAAACTCTTAAATCTTCCAATGAAAGTAAAACGGCCAAAAAAAAAAAATCAAGCCAATGAAAAAAAAATTCAGTGGGATATACAGAGATAGAAATGGTAACACATTATAGACAATGAATATCCTGTAAATATGGCATCAATAAAATCAAGAGACGAAATTAGCCCCCCAAAAAGTTTGAGGTCTAATCTAAACAACCAAATAATTAAAGGGACTAGAATATTAAACAAGTAATGTGAAAGTATTTTTTCACTTATATCCCAACAGTTTGGCGCATGAGCAAAAATACAAATCCAGAAATTCGTTGTTCTCTCCTCTAACCGGGACTTGGAAGACGACATGTATTCAAAGCAGCATTTGACACTGCAGGGGCAAGAATAATAATATTAATTACAACAGTGGAGACAGACGATTTATTTGAGTTGAAGCAGAATCATACCTCAGTTGTTTCACAACTTCCATGTATTCTGCAACCACAATAACTTCAAATATCTTAAACATGCAAGAAAAAATAAGAAGTTTACCATAAACCAGAAGAGTTAAGGACACTTGTATACCTCTAATGCCATTTAAAACAAGCATATAGAACTCGATGGTTGAAATTGTATTCGTTTTTACAACACATTCAAGAGCAATATGTGCAGTCGTTGCAATAACTAAAATTTAATTTTTCAAAACCCTGACGACGACACAAAGGTAATTGGTACATTATCCCCAGAGATCTCTTCTATTACTTATATTTTTCTGAATGCGCCAAATAGCAGCCTATAAATCAGATCTAATACAAACGAAAGTGTTAGATGCTTGGACAAATGATGCATGTAATCATCCAGTAGTAGCCTTATATATGGTGAAGCATCCTATATATCTAGTGTCAGAAATTTCTAAAAGCTATAATATTCAAGTTCTATAATAACGAAAATATATAAGCACAGAGACAAGTTAATAATTGAAATTGCTTAAAAAAACAACCACCATCACGAAGACATAAAGCATATATTTCAGGTATTAGAGTAGGTTATCATTCAAAAATACAGAGATCGGAAAGCTCCATAAAACAAAACGCACAAACCAAATCATAAGGCGTAATGACATCAACCAAAGAAACCCAAGAAAAATCAGAGAAGGAAAAAGACATACAACAGTAATGCTAAAAATTCGAGAGTGATCATTTTCGCTTCAGTATGTGTATATATATGCCTTCCTCTGCAATATATTCCCTCTATAACACAGCTGAAATGGGGAATCTAACAACTGGGAACAAACAAATAAATTTGAAAAAGTAGGTTAGCAACGATCGGAAAGTGCCTGGGGTTAGGGTTTTTTTTTTTTTGTGTTAGGTTTTTGTTGGGGGGGGTGGTTGGGGAGGAATAAAGGGGACGATGAGGCGGCGTTTTGCGGAAAGAAAAACGAGGGCACGAACTGTATTAACTCTGTCCGAAATAGAAAATAGAAATGCAAATACGAATAACTAGTTACATACACGATATGCCCAATAAAAAAAGAAAGAAGTTCATAACATGGAAATCTTTTGAATATGAATATCAATATAAAATGTGAAAGCCATAAAAAATGCATAATATTTATGAACAGTACATAGAATTATTTGTATCAGATTTCAATTAATTTTTTATTTTTAATACATATATATATAGTTCTCGACTTCTAGGCAAGTACCTTATTTTTTTTTCAATTCCTGCAAAAAACAGCATTGGGGATTAGATGTAGAGGAAATAAGTTTGAGGAGAAGGCACTGGGTATTAGATTTGGGCATTTGGCAGTGAAGTATCTGTCATCGTCCCAATTCATTGTCCGGTGGAGCCGATTATATAAAATACAAATAGCGGATGGCGAGGTCCTAGATTTGGCAGAATAATCTAATAATGCCAAAACTTTAATATTAATTGGGGCTCACTTATTTAATTAATTTATCTTTAGAAGGGCTGCGTGCTTATTTTACTGGGAAAGGAACCCCACTACCACTTGCACTTGAACCCCACAGCAACATTATTGTGTTAATTACCAGAGAGTGGTTAATTAAAGTCATAAAACAGCAGCAACCTTCCATATCATGCATTACTGAAATTATCCATTGCATTAATTGCGCCTTTCTTGATTCATTTGAATGCGTTGTCGCCTTTGTCAGATTCATCACATTGCAAATTCAGCAAGTGTCTCCTTATTAATTTAATTTGCTCCTTGATTCTTGTTATCAATCATTAAATTATATATTAATTAAGTTTTTTTAATATTACTCCTATTCAAATTAATTTTTTTAATATTACTCCTATTCAAAATTATATAAAAGAGAATGTAACATAAATAATTTTAGGGATAATACTACACTACTATTTGATAGTCTAGAATACCTAATATTCACGAGAGAATTTATAGTTTAAAGAAAATAATAAAGATATCCTTTAATACTATATTTTGTGGCATACCTATACACTGCTCCTCAACTTCTATTACTATCTATGAATCTATAATGCTACGTATAATATCCATTCTGTTTTCAGACTTAACTGATAAATGCTTAAGTTCCACCTCTCAAACAGCAATGGTTGGTCAGAATCCATCATATATAAGACATTCTTGATCTTGGACTTTTAGGGAAACAAACAGTAGATGATCCGATGATTGGATGAACCAAGTCAATTTTGTTGTCATATACCAAAAAGAAACATTAAAGATCTTTTTTTTTTTGGAAGAAAAGGGGGAAATGGCAGGCGTGCATCTTCCCTTGCTCTAAAAAGGACGAGGTGTCGGGGGATAGATCCCTATAAACAATTATGTTTTTTAATTATTGCCTAATTTAGCAAGCAGAGCTTAATTACTTATAAATTACGAGTTGATGGTAATAATATCATGCTTGTTTATCCAATATTTTATCATTCAACTTGGGTCTGCATCATTATATTCTTTTAGAATTTTATTATAATATAGTTGCAAGGTATATATAAAAGGGTATCCATGTTGAATCTAGCAATTTGTTCAGCAGTTTCTAATTTTTCCGGTGCAATGGCGATTTTTAATTGCACTAAGCTCAGTGAACAATTGTAGCATCTTAGTTAACATATTAACTTCTTAGATCTCAAGGACGATGAGATAAAACCAATAATCCGCATGTAAACCCTCAAATAAAAAGTTCATCTGTTGAAGCTCAAAATTAAAGCAAAGAGAGTGCATTTCTTAACCGAACACAAGTTGGGTCACAAATGATGACCCGATCATATTCATCCTCTGCCCGATACACACAAAATTATTTTAATATTATATATTTTTAACACATGTTCATTGAACGTTTTAAGCCTCCGTTATTTCACCTAATCAATCACTTTCATAATATTAAGCCGCATAGTGCCATGGCTGCTTTCGTCCCAAATCGAGATTACACTGCCGCAATGCATGACCAGGATATGGCTGCTAGGAATGAAGACGCTCATCACTGTACAGATATTGAGTTTATTAAAGCACCCAGATACATGAATGAGAATGAATCGCTAGTAAAATCCAAATTGAAGTTCTCGTAATCCTCATACAAATTCAAACGTGGTACTGGGACTAAAATCTTGGACGAGGACAAATTCAATCACAGGCGGCGTCCAAAGCAAAGATTCATGCATCATTGGATCTGGCAGTTGATCATTTTAAGGGTCACCAGCAGACGCCAGTTCACTTTTCCACTCACGCAAACGCAACAATAGAGGTACTTTAATTCCAAAATCCTCCCTCCCTTCTTCCTTCCCTTGATTCATCTGGTCCTCTTAGTGAGAATTCTTGTACCTTGCAGATTTACTAAATTCCTCTGCCTCTTTTTCTTTCTTTACATTTTTGCAGATCAGCTGACGCATTTCAAGTGGTTAAAGATGGAACTAGATATATATAGCTGGACGACTTACAGAGGCATTACACCAGAGGTATGAACCCTAACATTACTTGATTATTATATTAGATCGAGATTCTTTTTTTTTTCCCCCGGCCTGCGAAGAATGAGGGATTTGTTATAGAGGGAGCTGGAGGTTGCGAGCAGATTGTTACGACAAATGAAAAATGGCCCCAACCTGAAAGTATTACATCTATTACGAAGCCTCTTAGGACCGTGATGCATTTGCTGTGAACAATGGCTGCTTTTCCTCTGATTTTAGTCCAATCCAGTAAACGGAGGAGGAGTTGGGAGATTATTGATCCGAAACCTGCAACTATTATGCATTCGAATTCCCTAATTTCTCACTGTAACTATCACCATAGTAAAAGTTAAATTACATGAGATTTCATGTTTTCTTCAGATAATTTATTATAAAAAAAACTTTAATTTAAATTACAATGTGTTAAATTATAACAACATTAAATGATTTTTTTCGACTCAAATAATTTTTAGTTAAAGTTTAGAAAAACTACAATACTTACATTAAATTGTTTTTATTCATTATGTCAAATTCTCTAATTATAAATGATCATGTGTCATGTTTTCGACATATTACATTTCATTATTGACCCGCATGAAAAAAATAAGATAACTGGCTATGTGTGATCAAAGAATAGATATAAGTAACTTAACTCTATTATGTGTTGAATTGTTTATGTTATTAATTAGATCGTATTAATTAGTATTTACTAATATGCTAAAAAAATATTACTCTTCCAGTCCTATTACAAGTCATAAAGAGAATTTTTTTTTAAAAAAAAAATTTAAGTGACATCATTAAGTTTTTTAGTATGAATATACTATTCTGTCATTCATTTACTGCTCCGGCTCTATGTAGAGGGCAGGAGAAGGAATTTTTGGTCATAATATAAATATGTAATGTTATCTTTCATTTATTATTATATTGACTTTATTTTTAGTAGGTATAATGTGTATTAAATACTCCTCTGGTCCTATTTATAAGACAGAGAGGAAAACATTTTTTAGTCTTATTTATAGGGCATTGAGAGAAATTTTTGGAATGAATGTACAATTTTACCCTCCATTTATTATTATATTGATCTTATTTACATGAGGTATAATGTATATTAAATAGGGATAAAGTTGAAAAGTTGTTAAATTTTAAACGAGAGTTAATGAAGTTTAAGATTTTTCTTAATCTATGTAAAATATGTTAAACGTGACTTATAAATAGGACCAGAATGAGAATAAAGTTAAAAAGTTGTTGAATTTTAAAGCATATTTAATGCAATTTAATTTTTTTTTTGTTTGTATGAAACATATTTAGAAGTGACTTACAAAAAAGACCAGAGTAGTATGTTGCTTTTTTTTTTTTTGAAAAAAATTGTATATATTAAATGAAGAGAAAACTAAAAATTCATAACGTCTTCACATAGAGTTGATCCAATTCAGTGTTTTTTTCGATTCGTCTGAAATATGCTGAAATGCGTTTAATTGCCTAATTATCCCTCAGCTCAACTTAGCAATATTGTGCATTTATGTTTTTCCCCGTGTGATTATATGCTCCATTGTTCACCGCGAGTGTTAAGTGTCTTTATGCCCGTCTTCCCCGGAAAACCAGACTCGCCTTTTTGAATTATTACCGCCGCGCTCATACTCCCATGTCCTTTCCCCCCTTCGTTTCCAGAAAAAACCCTATTTCCGTGCTTCATGGCTCATGCTTTTCGTTGGATGCTACAGTCAGCTTTCTCGAATTATATATGTTCTGTTTCGAAGCTACTCGATTCCCGAATTTTGACAGTCTTCTTCCAATGGAAGTCATTTCCGGGACCTAATGGGCAGCGTAGCACGCGATCGAGGGTTTCACCAACTCAGTTATCGAGGTAAATGTGAAATAATCTCCTTTCCTTTTCTTTTTGTTATTTTATCATTATATTCAGGAGGGAAGCTAAGGTTACTTTATGGCGAAACGGTTTCATTGTTGTTAATTAGTTTGAAGTCTCCCAGATATTCCAATTGGAATTAATCCTCGTCACCTCTGTCTGTCCAGCTGTTGGTTCTGTCTTTTAGGTTTTCCACTGAGTTTCTTGATTTAATAGCCCCCGCAATTATTAATTTATTATAGCGCAGTCGGATGTAATGACGAATTTGCCATCACCTTCTGGATGACTATCGTTTTCTATTGTTTTTTAGTAACAATATTTGATTTGATTAATAAGCATTCTGCCAATATCTTAGGTGCTTGCTGATTAATAAGCATGAGTTCAGTATTGACGGCCGCCAGAACGCCTCAAAGGATTCAGGTCATATATACTTAGATACTCATTCCGTTCCTTATTATAAGAGACAAATAACCAAATTACGTTGATCAAAAAATAGAGGACAATCAATGTGTAAAAATATAATGTTTTTTTCCAACAAATTAATAAAAAGAGTATGAGGACAATAATTGTCAACATGCCTTGTCTATAATAACAATATATAGTTTTCACTTATAGCTTTCATTTGATCACCATTCCTTTTAATTTTGGATGTTCTGAACTGCTGATTAATGTAGATTTCCTCAATCTTATGTCATTAGAATTCTAATTAGCCGACTTAGCCTGTGCGTTTATTTCCACAAGTATCATCAACCTTGCTGTTTGGACTTAATTAAGATACCGAAAATATTGGATGCGGCCGTATTGTATATATAGATGAAATATGGGCGGTGTATCATTTTGTCCAGGCATCTAAGATTCTAGGATGAGTTAATATATTTGTTGACATTTGGTATGCGTGTCTTAGAATTCTACAACTGTCATAAAAGATCTCCATATGCGATGGATTTCCACCAATTACACATGGAAACTATATCTCTCTTATCCTTTTTTTGTTTTTGTTTTGTTTTTAGTAGCCTACATAATTCGTGATTTCCTGGATAGATTATTGGTTTACACATCTGATGCCAAATATATAGAACTTGGAATTCCATCTTTCATCCTCGTGGTCTCTACTCAAAGTTCATGATCAATACCAATTTGAAATAATGAACATAGCTGAGCGTTGACATATGACTGAAGTATATCTGCTACTGCGTTAGGCATATCCACTAAACTTCCTTTTCTTCATTTATGTTTAGCCTATGAGTTGTTGCTGCAAAATTCATAATCATTTCCGATTAATAGTCAATGGGAAACTAATGAGTTGTGACATTTTTAGTAAATTGTATGGTATAGGTCTGATTCGTTTTTTGTCACAAAATATTTGTGCGTGGTATATATAGATGTACTCTTCCGGTCCTTAATATAATATCTAATTAACTAATTTGAGTAAATTAAGAATGTTAGTTAAATTAGTTAACATGATTTTTTTTTTCTAAAACACCCAAATATCTTCCTTAATTCCCTCCTTCTTTCACTTACTTGATTATTGTTGGGGAATATCAATAAGGTTAATTTGAAAAAAAAATTTGATAAATATGTGAAATAGATGTTATATATATGACTAACATCAACTCTCTAATTAGCTCTTATATTAAGGACCGAAAGAGTATATAGGATCTGATTTCTATACTGAATACGATTTGTTGTATCTGGGAAACTTAGTTGAAGAGATGTTTTGTCATACTAGAATCAATTGTTAGTTCCTGCGGTTAATCTTGTGCAAGAATAGAATGCAGTGAGAATCTTATAATTAGAAGGACGCCTTGCCTTTTTTTAGTTAACCTTACTTTTCTAGCAGCTCTCATTGTCCAGCAAATGAGGCAAACAATTGCAACACTATATGCTTTTTGCCTTTTCCCACCAGCTAGTAAGCGATGTTGAAAGAACTACTCGTGCTGTTGTGGCCTGTAATGTTGATACTTGATATTGAAATAAACCATACGGTCATTTTCTTTGGTGAGATTAAAATACAACATTTAGTTTATATAATACCATGTTTATCTCCATGTGTGAAAATTTTACGATGCCAGCTATTCTGGTTTAGTATTAGTCTTTTCCCATGGTATCAAATGATGTGTAAACATCCTAATTAATAAAGGAGTTCTTTGTTAGAAAGATTTTGTAGAGTTCAGATACAGTGACATAAATATAATTATACTAAATAAAAGGCTTCTTTTTCTTTTTCCTCTTCTCTGTGCCCTTCAACGAGACCTTTGCAATTGAAAACTTTAGAAAATCCAAATTTATTAAGTAACACTATTACATTTAGGTTTACTGTCTCTGAAGTCATGAGGAAAATGGAGAATGAAATACTATCTGATTTAACTTTATACTGACATATGTGGGAAGATTTCAACAGTGAATTCCAAGGTAATTGCATATATACTTCTGGCTAAACTAATTCATACATTCCTTTCCCCGGGTTTTGTTGATATTTCTATTATGGATGCATCGAGATGTGTTTTAGGCGCTGTGATTGGAAACCGAAAACTCATCGTCTGGTTCATTTAAAATTGCTGATCAATTAGTCATTTTATGGACATGTCTGGTGATGATTTCTTTTTTTGGGTAAAACTCGGGAAGGATTTGAAGCTGTTTCAAAAATAGATGTATGCAATATGAAGGTCACATTTTAGTTGAAGAAAAGATATAAAAGAAGTTTATGGGGCTTGGAAAGGGAAGACGCCAAGATGGTTTTAGGTGGGAACAAAGACACTGAGGAGGGTGCAATGGTCGAGTCGATGCTCTATGAAAGGAGCAGCTAGCTTTAGCTGAAGGTGTAATAATCATTGTAATTAGTTTCCAGAAAAAATTGGTAAAAGATCTCTTGTTTGGAGATTTTAATCAGTAGGAGGACTTGATAATCAGTACTTTAAGGATTTCATACACAAAGTATCGATATTTGAATTTAGGTCTTTCTAGCCAATACAATTTCCAAACAGGAATGATTCACCAATTTTCCCTAGTTTCTACTTTGTCCCTACTGCATCAGATATGTCAAATTTCTTAACGAACACCAACAAATAGAATGGGATGAGCTGGGAAGGGGGCTTATAATTAGCAAGAGAAAATGACTGCAAAATGAAAGAGGGACGAAAATAAGATAAATGGCGCCTCCACCTATAGGAGAAGGATAATATATGGACTAATAAATAGAAATGAGGGTGATTAATACTGTGTGAAACTGCAGGTTTGATTATTACAAGTATACATCTAGCTTGTAGTTTGATCAGATATGGTGAGAAGTTGCTCCAGATATTCAACACCCAAGTCCTCCAGCACCAACACCTCCGATTGTTGTTTAGCTTTGTCTTTCTTTGCCTTTGACGACAATTTTCTTTGGATGTAGAACCTCTCTTTGAGGGCCAAAGCAGGCGAACAGCCTTTGCGGCAGCCATACTTGATGTGTTGCAGAGACTCCTTCACCTTTTCCACAGGGAAATTAAGAACGGCGTTGTTGCCTCTCATGGTGAATGCAGCTTGGTCATAAGCTAGAGCAGCCTCCTCGGCAGTCTCGAACGTTCCCAGCCAAACTCTGGTTCCATTCCTGGTCGTGTCTCTGATCTCAGCTGCAAATTTCCCCCAAGGTCTCTTCCTCACCCCTATGTATGATCTTTCCTTCACTGCGCTCTCGGTTTCTTTGTTTTTACAACTCACCGGTGCTTGATTTACCTCCTTCTCAATCATATCGAAGCAGAGATAATCTTGGAAAGGGTCTTCGTGAAATTGGTCGCTTGATGAAGAAGAGGCCACGAAAGGTTCAAAGGTAGTCTCCTCCCAAAACTCACAATCTGGGCTCCAAGACATAATGGCTATGGTTGCAATCTGGTATGGTATTTATGACTTTGATCCCATTATTGCAGTTATTTATATACGCCAGATCCATGATGGTTCTATTTTGAATCAGCCACCCCGCAATTTTTTATACTATCATAAGACTATATTATTGCTAAACTTCAATTCAAGTTCTTTTGTTTTTTCGGGTCAGATACTTCAGTTCAATTTAATCTCTGCGGTCAGCACTGATATGTCGAGACAGCACTGGAATTAATTTGAGTGCTATTCTTCATTCCATATATTTTAATAATGAGCATGCATAAAATTCAATCTTTTCTGAATCATTTCATAGTATTGTATTTTTGTTCTTAATTTAATCGCCACTTTAAATATGAAATTTAATTCAATTTCATATCATTTATATGAAAATAATGTTATTTATATGCCATAAAAATGCTGCTTAAATACATAGCGTCTATATTACTTTCCAGCCTATCAAAAAAATGGCGTTTATATTAAATTATTTTGTACATTGTACATCTTTTATTGGGCTAATAATTGGACCTTTCCGTTATATACATCCAGATAAAGTATCAGTGTTCTCTCTTCTTGTTCTATTAATAGAAAAAATTATTAGAGGTTTGTGATCTTTTTATGGGATATTGTATTAATTAGCTATTATATTCTTTCTTTTTATCCCTGTTTAATGTTAATGTAGAAAAATGAAAATAATTTTTAAGAATACATTTAGTATAGACATAATAAGAAATTTTTTTATTTCATGGCAAAATTAATAAATAAAATGCCAAAAATAAATAGTTTATGTCATGCATGTGCGCTCCCTATATTGAAGTTAAAAATTATTATTCTAGTAGTAAAACCTATAAACTAGCTAGATCGGGACTCTTTTTGGGTCAAGCTAGGCCATTAGATCGGGATGGCTCGTAATTTATGTTTCTTGTCATAAGTTAGTAGTAAAAAATAAAAATGCCTCACGTGTTGGTTTGTTGGGTTGCGTCATTTTCCCTCTTGCCGTATATATACATGTAAAGTTAAAAAGAGATAACGTATAAGAAAGATATTTCTGGTAAAATTAAATTATTCATTTAATTATCTATTACCTTACAAACGAGCATAAACATAGTACTACCTCCGGTCCTAATTATAAGAGCTAATTGACTAATTTGAGAAGATTAAGAAAATAAATTAAGTTAGTTATTTGTAATAAATAGGTGTTGTTTTTTCTAAAATATCCTTGCTAATCAAATGTGTTGCCTAAAACTATCATTATTAGAAGGACTATCTTGAACAAAATGCATAAATATGAGAGACAAAGTGGATAGGGGTCTTATATTTAGGATAAAAATAAAAATCAAACGAGGTCTTGTATTAAGGAGTGAAGGTAGTACGAAGCAATTTTTAAATATGTATAAACAACTTGTCATCGCTCATCACTGTCACCCTCCCCAATTTTAAATGCTTCGTCGCGTATGCGCACAGGACGCGGAGCAAGGAATCCACGATTAATTAATTATCCTTTTTAATCCCGTGGTTTTTTTAATTTATGGAAGGTCAATATGGATTAGGAAAAATTTCATTTAACCCCGCATATGCGATTTTATTTCAAATAAAGAATTAAAAAAATATAAAATTACACTGTAGCGTGAAAGGATATCATAATGAAATCATGTTTTGACAATAAATGATCAAAATGCCCTTCCTTGATATGAACATTTTTTATTTTATTATTGTCAGTTATTAAAATATTTTATGCACTTATAAATTCACTAATAAAAACTTGTAAATTTTTGTATCTACTCTTATAAATTTCTATATGTCCAATTAAAATTTTTTACTATTATTAGTTGTTAAAATTTTTGCGTGTGCATTTTAAATTTTGTTATTGTTATTTGTTCGTTGCTAAAATAAGCATACGAGATTTTGCTAACAATAATAAAATAACAAATGTACAGACTCGCAGCACATTCCTATGTCCTAAGTCCTCACATGCCTTATCTATATGTTGTCTTTCATTCTCCTCTCCCTCAAGAAGCCTCTTGTAATCCGCGAAGGAGTCCAAGTTTAGACTTTTGGTTCTGTTTTTGCTTCCCTAGACTCCATTTCCAATGTAGACCAGATGGGGCAATAGATTTTAAACACAAATAATATAATGGTGCCATAAAAACTTGAGGTTTAGGCGGTTGCATATCAGCATTATTGTGCACTGGAGAATCCATGAGAGAAATCATCAGCAGATAATACACACACACACACACATATGTATTCCATTTGAGAAGTCATCGGCAAATCCCTTGACACGTACGATCGATAATGTCTTGGTGGCGATCGAACTTTTAATTGGTTGCTGGACAGAGAGATCAGGAAGACGAACATACATATAATTAGTGTTGCTGTTGGATCATGTTAATAATATGTGTGCACGTGGGGGGCAACAACATTAGCGATTACCTCGTCCAGTTCATCAGATCTTCAAATGCGTGCCTACGCGCGTCTGTGTCTGCATGTCTATATATAGTTCTTCTTACACACACACACACATATAAGCCACATCATCATTACATTATAATATATCTTATTTTTTTAATATGCCATTATTGGCTCCGTTCTTTTCCCTGAATGTGGACACCCATGTGTGTGTGTGTGTGTGTTCCGATTTGAATGATTAAATACTGTGAACAATGGCACCATCAGATTGTGATTATTGATTATTTTAGGGGCCACTTGGTGACTTGGTCTGGGAATAAAAGGGAAGTGATGGTTTATTAATTAATTATGAGATACATTGTACGTTGATGTGACATCTGCTTCCAGACAAAAACAATTAGTTGGCCTTGCTGTGCTCTGCCATGTCAATGGTCTTCTCTCTATTCCTTTGGTCAAAATTCAAGGTCAGGAATGCCGTTTGGTCAGATTATATGGGAGCGAGGCCCTCATCAATCCTAATCCTATATATGCTCATCAGTGCCTCCTTCCTTCGTTCATATATGATTTCATCAATGAGTGGTAAAATCAACTATTCAATATATATATATATATATATATTCAATTCTATATATCTACATAACTAAATTATCCAGGAGAGATGGTCAATTACAGAGAAAATATCCAAAATTACATGTTACATGCTCTCAAGTTTCTAATAAGAGTTTACAAAATCATAATCATGAACATCTATTAATATATTCTGCTCACGGTTTTATTTAGATTTGTGAGTTTAACAACTTTAGTAAGATCATACGTACGCTTTGATTTGCATATATATTTTTTTTAATAACTATCGACAATATTTAAGGGTAAAAAACTTTAATGAATGATTCGCAGATCGTCTGAAAGGGGAAAAAAAATTAAGAAGAATCAATTTAAATTTTTTTTTTATCAATTTAACATATTACTTAGTATGTCAGAAGAAGTGACAGACAACTTATAATAATCATCAAGAGTTAAGTTATTAAAATAATGGGGAGGGCGTCCCAGATTTTGGCAGAATCTAACGCCAAATTATGGAAATTTGCAAATTGCAGCCGCCCAACATTTCGCATTACAACAGTATTACGCGATCCAAAATTTTAAAACTACTAGTAAAAAGCTTTATTAATTAAATGTAATTTTATGATGGTGGGGAAAGGGAAAAGGAAAAGTATCCCACATTGGACTGGAACGCGGCTTTCCCGGCTTCTTGACCTTGAACTTGAACGTTGAAGGTTGAACCACACGAAGACATGAATCATATTATAATATTCATGCGCCATCCGTTTCTTCATTCCATTTCGATCCCTAATTGTTTGCCCTTGTCAGATTCTCAGATGCCGCAGTGTTCCCTCATTAATCATGGCCGCTACAACATATACTATTACCAGAAATTTGTTAAAATTAGTTAGTTAAAAGCAGTAATTTGATAAAAATATATCTTTATTTTTAAATATTCTCTGAAAAAAATAAAATAGAATGTATGAGAAAATGTAATGAAAAAGAGACAAGTAAATAAAAGATAGTGAATAATTAAGAATGAAATCGAAAAAAAATATTAAATATTGATGAGGCAAACTTAGATATTGAAATCTATAAAATGAACTACACCTGATCTTCTTCTTAGATTTAAAGTTTGTAAATAAAACTACTATGAAGTGGTACCATTTCTTTTAATTAAAAGAGCTGAAATAATTATAAATAGGATCAAACTCACAATCTTTCACTCAAGCAAAAAAAAAAAAAACTTTTCATGCATTTAAATTATAAGACCATTAATAAAATGAATTAAAGCAGTACTAATTCAATACTCGTGCTGATGATTACTTGTCTTCATAAAAAAATGGAATATTAAAAGGAATGAAAATCTATATAATATATAAGAATTATTTATTTAGTTTTACCTTTCATTTAAGATCATGATATTTTAAATATTAACTACTTTAATTTGACGACGTCCGTTTAACGTAGATGTTGTATAAAATAAGTATACTTTTTTAAAAGCAAAATTATTCTTTAGTCCTACATTATATCCCATACGGACTTATTTTCAGCTTCTATATATGTATATATATTATATAATATTCATCCTATTTTTTTGACTTAATAATATGTGCTTGACCTCGCGCGTACACATACTAAACAGCATCTTCTCCATGTTCTAGTACGCATGAGGCGTTGGGTATAGATTAATCTTGGCAAAAGTAGTTCTTATTTTAATTAGTTTTTCCAAATTGATTGGAAGTTGGATGCAAGTCAACTAGCGTTGTATGATGTATGTTTGGAAAGAATTTTTCAAAAAAAAAAACTTAATCTCACTTAAATTTTTTTGGATAACATATGAAAAGTTTTAAAATGTTCAAATAACTTTAAAAAGAACCAAAAGACAAAAAGTTACTTAGGAAAAAGTCATTTTTTCCCTCAAAATTATGTCAAATATTATTTTTTTTAATCCAACTAGTCCTTTTTAATCTTTAACTAAATTCTGAGAATTTTTTTTAAAATTATATGATGCACGAACTAAATTCATATAAAAAATAACG